AAAAAAAAAAAAAAAAAAAAAAGAAAAAAAATTTACGGTGAAATAAAATAAACAAAATATTGTTGAATGTCACCAACCTATTTAAAAATTAACCATAGCCCGTGCCTATATCGACCCACGTACGTTCTCTGACCCGAATTTTTCGAGGGACGTAAATCTAAGTTCGACGCAAATTCCGATCCGGGAACAACGTGTAAACCCGGCTATGTCCGTATCAATCACGAAGCGTGACCAACATCCTTCGACAGATGTTAATGTAAGCCGAGAGCAAGTTTTGAGTAATGTTTCTCTTACCGGACGCGACCAACAACGCTTACCTGTCGAACAGAATCAACCTATACTTAATGAATCACGTCCTAATATCGATCCTCGTGCCAATTTATCACACAGCGGCCATGCAGTTAGAGCATCATTATCATTGAATAATCACCGAGATACTACACCTTATCGACGTCCAACAAACGCCAATAACATAGCTGGGCTCGGCCTTGTTCAAACCGCAAGAGTGACATCATCGCCTTTACAAGGAGGAACGGCTGGAATTGTTCCTACAAATGTTCATTTAAATAGTCATATGCAACTTTCTCAGATGACACCACAAATTACCACAAGACAGCTATCCGGAAATACACAAGCTAATGTTACATCAGCAATAAGTGGTGTTGAACTTACTCGGACTTCTTCAAACCCTGGAATAATTATGAACAATCCAACCCCGGTGCTTACTCGGACGCCATCAAATCCCGGAATGATGGCGAACAGTGTAACACCAGGACTTTCTAGAACGCCTTCAAATCCGGGAATTATGATGAATGGTACGTCACCTAGACTCACTCGAACTCATTCAAATTCTGGAATAATTATAAACACTGCAACTCCGGTGATTGATCCTAGAAGACTTCAACGAACACCTTCCACGCAAGGGATCATGATGAACATTACCTCTCCTCTATCACGATCATCATCTAATTCAGGAATGATTATAAACAATTCTGTTTCATTGATAGATCCAAATAAGATTAGTAATGGTGCTGCTTTAGTTAATTCTGGACATAGGATAGCTATTACGA